ATCCAAGCGTGGCCTGCGAGCCACTTGCCGCTAGCTCTATCATTATTCGCCGAGCGATTCGTTAATCAATCATCCCGCCTAATTGCGCGACTGGCGGATCGCGTCACGCCGCTCCGACGTCTCCTTTCGCGCCAGCGAAACCTTGTATTTTGCTGCCGAGGGACGATTTAATTCCCAGCGGAGCGGAGAGTCTTGGACTCGGGATTATATTGGCAAAGCTCGAAACAAATCTGAACACTTTTACTCGTCGTTACTGTCTCGACAGTGATGAAATTGCAATTTATGAATTCGTTAATTTATTTCCCTCCGAGACAGTGCAGTTCGTGCGAGCCATCGTGAGCAGTCGTCGCAACACACCGAGCGAGCAATATTTTTATTCGAGGAATCCGTAGGACCGATTTACTTACTACACGCGACGCGAGGCCGGTACATCGGGGAATCGTAAGAACATACGTGATATCGAAAGGAAATGCCTCGACTCCCCGGACGTCGGCCAGGCGCCGCCAGGGAGCACGAAAAGGGAGGAGAGAAAGGAAGAGAGAAAGAGGCTCTCCCCGTCGACGGCGGAGAGTTGAATTCTGAGATGGGGCATAAATTGATATGCATCCAGCATTCGACATGTCGGTCGGATGAAAGAGGGAGAGCCGAGACAATGCCTGTCGACCGAGCAACACCCCATCGCACATCCGGTGCGTTTTCAAGGAAGCATTCGGAGCACCGTGACACATATCAATTGATTTTCACGGGCGGAGGTCCGACACCGTACGATATATATCGTGGATCGACGCGAGCACGGTGTCGATGCATTCGTCGATGTCTCTGCTACGAACAAAAGACGAAAGTTCAGGCTCGGCGAGCACGCGATTTCACGCGTAGTGGAGGCGACGATCGTCGACGATGCGATTGGCAAAGGTGCCATCGAGGCAGCAGAGAGCTTTGATGCGTGCGCCAAAGCGCGGCAGTTACTAATTTAATTACAATGAGACACCGATTGCACAATTAACATATCGTTAAAATACCGCGGCGCCGTAATTATACACTTTCTAGGTGCACGGGGTCGCGGCCGATTTGCATATCGTTCGTACCACCGACACGACGAGACAACGTTTGACAACACGTTGGCTCGTTAGGGATCGTCCGCGTCTGCTGCGACGTTGTGCAACGCAGATTCTGGGCCTAACCAGTGTAATCTCTAATTTACAAGTAATATCGTAAGTAGTGCTATGATTACAGTGAGTGCCTGCTTCGACCAACTGTCGTTTAATAATTCATTAGTTAATTGTACCAAAAAGTTTAGTCGAGAAGTAAGTGAGACATTTCTTTTCACGACAAACTGATCTCCTCGTAGAAACGACGAATCATAGAAACAATACGCAAGACAGACACGACGCAATAATCCATCGAACCCCGATCGAACTCGATCGAATGATAAATACTATTCGAAAAGAGAATCCAACAGCAGCGCCGAAAGTTTGCGTTCACGGATCGCTCTCGACGTGTGTCTTCGATAAATTCCAACGAGAGTTGCAACGTCCTCTGGAAACTACTTTGTTTTACAACTCGACACTCGTGTCTCGTCTCTATGCGTACGCACGCGTGTTTGCGCACTCGCTCGCTCGCTCGCTCGCTCGCCTGCTCGCCAGAACGCGCGCGAGTATCCTCTGCACACAGAGATTGGCGTGTACCGGCTGGTAACCAGCGTCGACGTTCTACACAGAGCACGCGCTGCGTTCAATGTAAAGCGTTAAAACGCTACGTGATCGAATTCGACAAGCGACCGGACACTCGCCACTCCGAGCCACCATTTCGCGCTCGTCGCCGGAATATCAAGCAGAGAGATCGTTAGAAACGTTTCAGAATTAAGCGTGCCGTTTGCCCGAGGGCCCCTCGCGCCCTCCCGGCTCAATCGATTAGAATGGAACGCGATTCCCGCTCGGTGAAACTTGGTTAATGGAAATTAGCCCAGCGACTCGCGCCACCGTACCTTGCCCGCGATCCTGAATGACAATGTTCCAGCAGTTGGAATTCGCAAAATCGATTCGCAAGTTGGAGAGAACGACGAAAGTGCACGTTACATCTTGAAGCGAGAAATGAAAATACATACTCTTGGTAACGACTGAGACTACGTACGTGTGCTGTCAATTTAAAATTCAAAGTTTAAAATTTGTCGCAGCGACCAAGATTGAAATATTAGGGGTGGTTATCATTTAGTGACAATAATTTAAAAAAAAAATAATTTAAATAAAATAACATTTTCCACAGTATCGAGAAACATTACTGATGGGTACTCCTGTTATATTTTAGTGACCATTTCCATCGAGGACGAAACGGCAATTTGTTCCTTGTTATAGCGACAGTCGCGAACAGTGTTGCTCGAAGAGCAAGAGAGCATATCGTTCCTCTCGCCTCTGGCCACGATGACTGGTTGGGAAATCCCATTCATTTGGCTCGGTCTTCTCTCTCCTTCGCGAAAGTCATGTTTCGAGAATTTACGGAGGTGTGCGATCTCGCGGAACCACCACCTCCCACCCCTACGCAACAACAAACAAGCGCAAGGTGCTCTCGATCGAACGCCGGCTATTTTCAATACTTTCCCACAGGCTCGCGGCGAAAAATCCTCCTCGAACGACGGAGATCGAACGTCCACGCGTTTCACCGTGGCGTCTATGATTCACCAAACGCGCGCGAGGAGGAAGAAACCGTAGTAGAAGCCGGAGGGAAAAGAAGAAAGACGGAGAGACTCATTATCGTGGAACGAGCATCGAGAGTTAACGTGACTTCGCGAAATAATCTCGGTCGCGAGCGCGTTAACGCGAAATCAGGCGTTCCGATCGTGAGACGAGGCGAAGAGACGAAGCAGTCGTCGTCGGTGTGATGCCATTTCGAAGCGAAACGCGGTAGGGATCACCTTGATCCCTGAAATGTTAGACTCGACGTCTCTCCGCATAAAACTATCTGTCTCCATCGGGACGAGAAGGCTCGCGAGTCGGTTCGAGCCTCTCGCTACCCGTCTAGCGGAATTAGATTACGTATCTCGCGTTGGCCCCGTGATTTATTTATCGCGCCGGCCTCCTCGAGGCGTGCCGCGCCGTTTCAACACATTTCGACGCGTGTATTTACGATTACGAGAATTATACAAGGCAATTAGAGTGTAGTTGTAATTGTCCGCGGCGGCCCAGAAAATGGAGCGATGCGCCCGATACTTCGCTACGATTTCGAGTAGTTGCAACGTGGTACAGTTTCCACAACCTCGTGTTCCTTCCAACATCGCTCGCTCCTTCTTCATTTCAAATCAAACGAACCTTGCGGTTTTAGATCATCTTCGATGAGATGATTGAATTAACTTGCTCCTCGATTATACGATACTCCTATTAATTAATGCTTCGAGATTACGATTCGAGACAGCGAACACGCATAATCGAACAGGAAACACACATCGGCGAAATTTCAGCGTGGGAATACAGCCTGCAACCCGAAGAAATATCGAGCGTGGCGAACTTTGAAATTCGTTTTCGTGATTGCCAGGCGTATCTCGAGCGCGTTATTGACGCTCCGTAGCGCCACAAAATTGCACGCGCGTCGTGACCGCGCCGCACGGAGCCGTCTCTAAGGGCCAGAGCGAAAACGCGGCGCGATCGACGAACGGTTACCCCGCGTTCGATCCCTCGGATCTCAGTTACCAAGGGGTTAGGCCTCTCGGGCCGAACCACGCGTGGCTGACGAGGATCGAACGCGGCCCAGGATGGCTCATTTTCACCTGGGGTTACCTTTGGCACACAATCATCCGCCATTAAGCCCGTCTGCAAAAATTTCGAGAAACACCACCACGGAATATCCCTTTACACGGGGCGAGCAAGAGGCGATCTCGTGGTACGCGCATAACCCGTCCGCGGCTCGGGTATATCACAAATAGCCCCGTGATCTCGCGGCATGATCTTTCAAGATCGAGAGTAACCGCGTGGACGAAGGATGGTGAAACAGAAGGGAACGAGACGCAGGCAGAAAATAAGGCGGCGTTAAAGGAAGGTGAGATGAGAGTGGGACAGAGAAGGAAAGAGAGAGAGAGAGAGAGAGAGAAAGAGGGGCAACGAGTGCTAGATCTCGAGCAACGATCGGAGATCATCTTCCCTCTTCGACCGGCTCTTCTTCTCGTCCACGATCCTAGAAGGAGGCGGCGGGGGCGAAAAGTACGAAGCGCGGCGTCGCTCCCGCCGCCATTATCAAATTATTCACTCACACCGAGCGCCATCTATCTTCAGGCCTCGCGATCCTAACGTGTTATTATTTGATCCTCACTTTGTTAGCGATCTGACTCTAACAGCCTCGCGATATGTACCTGGTAGATCCTGCTCGGTGATCTGGAGTACTTCTCACGATCTCGCGCCACCAGCTTGCCCGAGATGCTTTCAGAACCACCAGCGGACTCTCTCGCCGCGCCGCAGCATCGGCGTGGAGACGCTCGTGCACGCCAGTAGCTGCTGTTCAGTCTACAGAGAAACGTCAGGACCACGGAATGGAAACTCGCGGAGGATTCGAGAGGAAGATCGGACCGAGATAACCGAGAGATGGTCTACGAGAGCGAATAACCTATTAATTTACAGGGCCGTGCTTCAACGGTCGGAATTGATAAAAATGTCGGGCTGCTTTCTAAATATACGCAAGTTTCCCTTTATGAAATTTACACTTGGTTGGAAATTTTTCAATTTCCCAGAGAGACAGAGGAGGAATCACCGAAGAGTTTCACGTGACCCAAAATATTCGACCGCCTTGAGAGGCGAAACACTCGAGACCGTGAGAGGAGCAAAGGTCCAGGGGTTAGCCGAGGTACCGTTCCGCGTGCGTGTATATTGTATATTCCGCGGGGTACGGAAGGTGAATCAGCCGACGGCGGGTGTTGCGCCACGATTCCCGCCGTTTTTCACGGGAATCGCCACGAGGTGAGACGGGACGGATCGCGAGAAACGTTGCCGCGGCGAGAACAAGGGCAAGCCAAGAGGGATCAGAAAAGACGAAACTCTAGGGCTAGGGAAGACGAAGATGAAGACGAAGACGAAGACGAGGCCGCAGCTCGTGAGGATCAGGCATAGGTAAGTGGCACTTATGTTTAATACTCGAGTGTGGATGAGTGGTCGGTCCTGCACGCGATCTTCGTGTCGGCCCGTTCTTTCCTGACCTCGCGTTCTCTGGAACCAATTTCCGCGGATAATACGAGCGCTCCGTGAATCTCGAGAGAACGTTCCTTTAAATGGAGCATCGACTATGGACGCTGGTCTATTCTGTCGCTGGCATATTCTTTGTATTTTTTTTTTTTTTTTTTTTTTTTATTGCGTGTATGATTCACTGAAACTCAAGCGCTAGATACACTTGAAATTTTGGCGTGAAAGGAAAATACGTGGTGGCCGAATGTTTGACGTGCACTAAAATTGTAATAAAGTTTCGTAGCATTTGCTTCAATAAAATCTTCCTCGTAGACTTTACGAGAGGATTTTTACGACCAGCTGTGTACATGTACCAATCTCGTAGTAAAGTTTTGTAACGTTTCACATGAACAAAAAAATGACTCCATAATGGAACGTGCAGATATTTTTGCGGCTGACTGTGTGTATCAGAGTCAGAAATTATTATTTCAGTGTCGAAATTGCTTTATACGCGTCTCTGCTCACCCTTGCCAGCCAGCGCTCACCACAATTAAAATTTCTACACATATTATTATCGGAATTAAGGTTAATGTCGTTCATCTTGATGATGAGCAGAGAAAAAGAAACAGTTAAACTTGCGACTTCTGTTCGAAACGCGCGGGAAAGTGAAAGGCGCGAAAAGGCCGCGTCGTGCCGACGTGAAACCAAATATAATCGAACGTTTACGTAGCCGTGAGTAATTGCTCCCCACGGTCGAAGCGGCGCGATAATCTCGAGACTCGTTAAAAATCGTGCTAATCCAACCTGTCGTTAACGTGGACTCGAACGATCGCTTTGATATCAATCATTCCGCGCGAGAGCGGAGTGAGAAAATTCTCGTTGAAGGTTCGAATCGTTTGCCGATCGTTCGTTTGTTCCGAAGCGTGGAACTAGCCCAAGAAAGCGCTGAACGACTCTCGAGCGGTGAACGTAGTAGCTTGAAACGATCGATAGGCGGAAAGCAATCGTTTTTTAGACAAAAGAATAGCAGAACAACACCGTCCCGACCACAGGAAAGCTTGCACGAAATTCCAAGTAAATCATCAAATTCGCAGTGGTTTTTGTTACCAAAAATCCAATAGTAAACGCCAACTTTATTATGCCTCTTCACTACATGAGGAATCCCATGTACGCACTTTGTCTCTTAGCGGCAATCTGCGTACGACAGCATATACAAAATAACAGGTATGGATTAGCGTTATGTCGAAGGAACGAACGTAATTAAGTAATTAATGAAATATGCATTTTGACGACACATACGTCACATCTACAGGATCGAACAGCGACTAACGAAAGCCGTGTCGTTTCAAACTCCGACGTCGGTGCTGACGAAACCGAACGAAGCGAGTTTGAAGATCGCAACAAACTCGAAGAAAGAAAGTCACAACAGGAAAATTAACAAGAGGGAAGTAAAACTCGACGACGCTTCGGAATCGTTGGTTCATTGTGTGCAGGACTTTGTAACTCGGGCTCGGAAAGTCGCGGACAACATCCGATCGAGCATACCGGTAAAATTTTATTTCTCATTTACTTGTCACTTGTTCGTAATGCAGAAAATTGACGAGTCGAAATTATATGACGATGTCAAGTTTTGTACTTTTTCTAAAATCTAAACGTCGTGAGTCTTTTCTTTCGAATTTTTCCCCCAAAATTTCAACTAATTTGAACGTCACTTTTCATCGTCAGGTTTCAAAGTCTGCAGAGTACGTCGATCCGCTAGCATCGTCAAATATTCTAGATTCGTTGCTATACTTGACGAGCAGCATTGGGATCAAATGGCTAGCCTGATGCGAACTACGATGCACTGAAAACATATTTGTGAATAGTTGTTTGACAAAGATTTGACACCAATCGTGAAGGGGGGCAGCGATTCGCGAATGATCTTTGACAACCGACAGTAAGAAGAATAGGTTGAATTTTGTTGTCCGACATCGTCGATGCCAAAACTATCAAACTATTTGACCTGAGGATCTGATGATGAAGGCACAGTTTGCTCAGGACTGAAAACTGATTCGGTGTTGCGAGCTCCAGAAGGCGCCAACGAGCGCGCATACACCGAATATCAAGTCTACGCAGGCGTGCGATAATTACAACATTGCTTGTGTAAAAACATAAACGTTGCAACGATCATGAATAAATAAATTTTTGTAATAAGTATAAGGAAACGTGATGTTATTTCTTTATATAGATGGAGCGTGTGAGCATTAGAATGTGTTAGATTTCTAGTTTTGCAGGTATTAATGTTTCGTGGATAGAAAATAAATTTGTCTCCTTTTATAGAATATATATATATATATATATATAAAAATGTATTATAAACAAAAAATTTTGCACTAACGCTTGTATTTGTATTTGTATTGCAAAAAAATTTGCAGTAACGCTTTGTATAAATTTCTCTGTAACCGCTTTGTTCTTTTCTCTTCAAACTCACAGTGGGCAGACTGTTTTCACGCTTACTCTCCCACACATTTATCCATCTCACTTATACCAATACTTAAAACTAAAGTTTTCCAAAATTAGTAATTCTGTAATATCTAACAGAATGTTTGAATTAAGGCTAATCGGACTTCCGTTTCCCACACCCCTTGGAAACCCAGGAATATCAACAACGAACCACCCTCATTCTCGCAACTGAACTTTCGCCACGTTTTCACGAGACAGCTGTCCCTGCAAGAGACACGTTCCTGCCCCCACAAAAAAGAAAGAACCTGCCTGAACATCGTGTACAGATATTTATCACTGGGATCTCTTTTTCGTGATCACGGAGCGTGTCTCGCAATCGCACCGGCCGGGAGCGGTCGAGCGGATTTCCAAATCTTCGGCCCGAGGTTCGTGGCGGCTGCGGAGCTGGAGTATAGCCGAGGCTCATTTGAATTTTCCCGGACAGGATGTGCACCGTGTGCATTTCAATCCCCGACCGGGGACACCCCGACGAATTATGGTCGAGCGAGATGGCCCCCTCCGTAGGCGCGAGGAATGAACGAAGAGAGAAATGGTATACGCGGATGGTAGTTTAAGAGCGAACGCCCGGTATCCAGGGCACGTCCGGAGCGCTAACAGAACTTATTGTCGTGCGCACGGCTCGCCGGGGCATTTTAATATTTCCGCTGAATGCGCCGAGAAAAACGGTCGAACGTGGCCAACCCGGCGACGAGAAACCGAAAGGAGAAAAAAAAAAAGGGAGGAAAGAAAAGAGAGGAAAAGGAGAAGAGAAAAGAGTAAAACGGAAAGGAAGGAGAGAGAGAGAGAGAGAGAGAGAGAGAGAGGAAAAAGAGGTACGCGCAGACCAGAGGCGAGGAATTGTTACGCGACACTGCCACTGGTCTTGCTTTTTCGACTCCGTGACAGGTGGAGTAGCCACGGGGAACCCTTTGTTTTTTCTACAAAGTGAGAGACTGCTTGCTCGTCGAGACAACACCAGCACCGTTTAGAGAGGCTGGCGCCACGAAGCGCATAACGATCCTCGAATTTAAATATTCACTCTCGGCCCGCGTTGAAAATATATTGCCGACAGTTCGTTCCCTCCTCGCTTCTCGCCCAGACGGGGCCCCGGCCCGAGCAATCCTTTCTTTGCCACGAATTTGTGTGCGAAGGTTTTGCGAGCTGTTGCTACTTCCAACAATTAGCATGTTGGACGAAGTTTTGGAAGGGAACCGATTGTCTCTTGAATGTTTTCGCCGAATAGGACGCGGCAATAGGATCGCTTCTTTTTCATGTTTATTGCGTGCTCTATTGTGCCGAGAACATTTCGACTTTTATCGTACATCGTCAAGACTCGACGCCGACTGAAGTAGAATCTTGACACGAGAATCAAAAGATTTTTTCAAGTCATTTATTTTTCACGATGACAAGTTTTTACATTGAGAGCTCATCGACTCTATTAAATTCCTCGCGTATCCTACGCGTTCTAGGTTTCAATCGCGCTAAAAAAAAAAACAAAATACTCACTAAAACGACGAGCGAAAAGAAAATCTCTCGATGTGATTACGACAAATATCTGCAATTTCTCTGAAAGGTCGCCGTCAAGATTATTCTCTCCGAGTGCCCTGTGACGTATGCTTTCCAAGATTCGCAGGTAATCCGTTGCGTGCGAAGCGCACGTTACACCAAGTTCGCAGGTATATTTCACCATGGCCGGGAGATCTATCACTCGAAACCGTGCTCTCCGTCGTGCATCCGTTTGCAACGCGTCCCTCGCCGCGAGTGATGCACGATGCCCGGTTGCACGGACGCGCGACAACCCCCAGATAAATTGTTGCGGTCCTCAACGAGTGTCACTGGGTATAATCGTCGGATCCTAATGCCGGGCTTCTCGCGGTGCAAATCGTTCTGGTAGCTCGAACGTGGCACCACGCATTTACATATTATGCGCGCACGGTAGCTGTGGTCCTTTCGAAACACCGCGGACTGACTGTTAATGCCGATCGGAATCGACCGAAACGTTATTCTGGAAAAAGGCTGGTTTCCTCGAGAAGATTTACCTAAGTATCGACAACTCGAGGGCAAAATTTGTATCTTGTTTGCTTCAAGTTGCTCGCAAACGGAAGAGGAAATTTAGATCAAGTTCGAAAGAGTTATTTCTCTTTGTGCTACAGATTGCAAATGTAAGAAATTTTCTGTAAATTCGTGACGGAACAGAAGTCTCGTTGGGAAGAGCGTGAAGCACGGACTGATCTCGCGTGAGGGGATGATTCACATCGGTTCGACGTCGAAACGAGATCCGGATGCAGCGGCAAAGCCGATTTCATTATGTAAGCAACGGAGAAAACACCGTGGTTCTTGCAATTAGGCTCGCCAATAGGGGACCATTTCGATCGCGTGCCACGGTGCCGCGATGCAATTCTTATTGCTACAATATAACAATTGCACCGTCGGGCAACCCGACTGTGTTACAACCCGTTTGATACGTGCATCCGTTGCTTGAACTTTGGTTGAAAAAAGTTTAACAAGATACTCTTGCAACCGTGTCTCTTCGTTCTCAGAGAACAGACTTGCTCAATCGATGGTTGGACTTTGTCGCAATTTTGCGAGCAAGATCCAAGGAAGTTCTCAATTTCCTGCTTGAGTGAGACAAAATTTTACTATACGTTGGACAACACAAACTTTTAAAATATATACGACTTTTTCACATCTTCTCGCGCGAAATAAATTTACCGTCGCTAAATCATTCGTTTCGAAAGAAATTGGTTAATCGCCGCGCGGCCAGATAGCGAAATCGACAAAAAGTGGTTTTGGTTGCCGAGAGGCCCATACATCACCTTGAACGTTGAAACGTCTCAATTCCCGAATTCCAGAAAGTGCAACAAAAGCCTGCGAGAACGCCGTGCTCGCGATTACGAAACGTAAATGTTGGCGGAACGGCAGCTATCGAACGAAGATGAACCTGCAAATGACTTTCACGCTTGCTCGAGACCATGAAACAAGATAAACGGTTCTCTCTCTTCGTTTTTTTTTTTTTTTCTTTTATCGCGTCGTATTCTCTCGGCGAGTAAAACCGAATGGTGCTGCGAGTCATCGTTCGGTTCGACCCGCTCGAATCCGAAGGGAAATCTTTGCTCGCGCGCGGCGAAAGAAGGCGGAGAGGAGGATCGTATCTTGCGTAGACGTCTCGCATCACCGGATGCGCGTGTGCCTCCCTCGCTTCCGGTCGTAAGGCTGGCCAGGCTCATTGCCATGCTCGTCGCCACACCCGCCCCCGGAATATGAAAACGAAATCATATTCTTTGTCTACCTCTCACCGATCGGTTTCCTTTTATCTCCTCCATTTAACGCGTCCCATTGTCCGGAACGAACCGACACCATGGAATCACGATTTTCGTTACTTACTGTGTGTTTCTATTACTCGCAGTGGACGAGCGACACGTTTCGGCCGATCGAAACGAAACCGATCGTCAACGCGAGGAGGTACACAAGGATTCTATCGGAACATGAACATTGTTGAGCGTTGCGCAATCGTGACATTCGCGATTATAGATTTGCATAGAATTGACTAATCACATATCTTCGTGCATGTTTGCCACGACACGACGCAAAACACATTTTATGAAATATTGGTATTCTAGGAACAATTGAAATTCCGAAATGCATCTCGCGCTTCGAAGCGTTTCGACAAGTCATGTGTTTCTTCACACAATGCTAATAAAATGTAAAAATGTAAACAGGCGGTAAGAATTCCACGTATTCGCCGATAATCCGAACGCGAACATTCGCGAACTTCTGCGGGCGTTTTACGAAGCGAACAACAACTGACTGATTCCGCGAATGAAGATATAAAGAAAGAAAGAAAGAAAAAAAAGAAGTAGAAAAAAGTAGGATAGGATTCGATCGAAGAAAGAAACGGATGGCCCTCTCACGGTCCACTAGGCTTTCGTCAGGGCAGCACAGCGGTTTCTCAAGATCGCTCGTTAAGCCGGCAAAACCCACAACCACGTAATTGCAGCGATCATACGTTAGTTAGGTTAATAACTTTGCATTATAAATGTATTAAGCTCGAATCCAATTACGTCGGTTGCGGGATCCGTTGCGAGATCCGCTGCCGGTTTGTAACGTTGATTTCTCTCAGCGCGGCGATTAATAACTCGAAAACGGGGCTACACGGTGGAGGATGATGCGGAGGCGAAGAGATGCGGAGACGTGCGAAATTTGAACACGGAAATTAGGAATGGCGTTCGTGTAATTGAAGGAGACTGGCGGGAGTCACTCTATAATTTAATACCCGAGTCTAACAGTGATGTTAAAATTGGAGCGAGCGATCTCGAAAAGACTAATCCATCTACTCTGAAATCTATTCTATTTAAATTCCTTTACAATTTCTCACAGGGTGATATGTACCTGCTCCATCCAACGTTTCACGATATATATGTACATATAGAAACCAATGTATCTAAATCCAGAAGTAATATAATTCCTGGTTCAGCTGTCCAAACACATCAATCACGTTTAATCAAATTTGTAAGCGATCGTGTTACGGCAACGTATCTGACACCGTCGATCGAAACACCGAGAGGCCGATCGAAATACCACAAAGTTACACCAGCTAATTGGCGATTAAGTAAGAACAGCAGTTTCCGCATGAGCGGCTCGACATCGTGACAAGAAAAATCAAGGAACGTCGGT